ATAATACATTATATTGTATATAAATAAATTATATATATAATATATAATTTATTTATATACAATATAATCTAATTATAATTATATATATATAATATATAATTTATGTATGATTTTGACAGCGATTGATATAATGGGGAGGCGATGGTTGATTCGAGAGGGCTTTTCGGACAAAAGCGACATTGAGGCCGCTCGAACGACATATCACCGTCGCGATGTTCGATGTTCGATCCTGCGGGAAAACGTGAAATTTCGACGGGACGGATCGCGGAACTCGTAACGACAAACATGCTCGAGACGTGTACGATTTTGCCGACTTGGATCCCTTACACTTTGCGGGTTACATAGCGCGTCGGAATTGAAAGTGGAGGAAAACACGGAGATCGCGGAGTCCTGGTAAATCTCTCGAGGAATTCAATGTCGATCCTCGAAGGAGGCGCGAGAAAGAGAGGAGGGTTGAAACTCAACCCCCGGGGAATCAGGAGCGTTCTAATCGGCTTATACGTGTACTTCTGTGCACTCTCACAAATAACTAAGCTCGTTCTGAAAGCTCAGTTCAAGCTTGGGAGATGTTTTCCACAAAAGCGGGCAAATTCTGGGAGGAAAAAAAATCCCGTCGAGACGCGGAAATTAAATTTTCGACGCATCTGGGGAGAGAATTCAAGTTGATTAGAAAAAACTTTAGATACCTATTATACCATTGATTCGAGAGATTTATTTTATAAAATTTTTAATTAAACCTTATATGTAATTATAATTTTATATATATACATATATATATTATAATTTAAACTTTAAATATGTAATTATAATTTTATATATATATATATATATAAATAATAGATCGATAAAAGACTCTGGTGGATAAATACAAATTAATATTAGGGGCAACATAATTATTTTTAAATTCCTCTATACTGATTTTGACAAGAAAAAAAATATAGAGAAATTTAAAATATACATATTGCATATATGTATATTTTATTGGTATTTGTTTATCGTTCAATTTCACTTTGCCAGGTGCTAACGCGTTTTATATCAACTATATACTATTATACGATATCGCTTTGTACTCGTATGTTATATAACGCTTCGGCGTAATCAAATGTTGTTACGGGAATTCGAAACATGTGTGTAACGCGTTTGGTTAATTTCGTTATCAATTTCACATCCATCCGCCTATATAATATAAAGGAATCGTAATACACTATTTATCTACCTATTTGGAATGTTGATAATTACGTTACACTCAGTTAAAATGACAGATAAATTTGATGTCCCGTCTCTATCCTATCTCTCTGTTTATTTCATATTATATATATGATCAATATTATTTCATTTAGTTATTTTTGAAATTGTACATCTGTCACGCTGTAAAATTCGAATCCATAATAAAACGTTATATTTTTTTTTCTTATTATAATTAATTCCTCTTTGTTTTTCTCTCTCCCGAAAGAAGAACGACGAGAAAAAAAAAGATTTATTTAATTTCTTGATATCTTATTGTGGAAAAATTTGTGCCTTGTGCACAAAAAATCAATTTCGACGAGAAATCAATTCCAGGGTGTCTTACTAGCGCTCAGGGAATTTTATAAATCTGGAATTCTCAGTGAAAAGTCAGGAAATTTTGCTATTTATCTAAATTTTTCACATTATTCTACATTTATTTCAATAATTTAGCATTTTTTATTAAATAAATATAAATTTTTCCTTGACTCCCAGCACGTTAATTTGCAGTTGTAATTTTTTTAAAAATCGATTCATCTACAGCGTGTTCGTTAATTTATGTTTTCATCATATAATATAAATAAAAAAGGTGATTATTTAAATAGTTTATAGTGACATGTTTGTTTCGATTATTGTAATATAGATTGTATAATTGATTTAAATTTTTGTTTTTTTAACTTCCGAACCTTTTCATTGTTGACAAAAATATCTCAAAGATTTCATGATTTAACATTTAATTGATTTATTATATAGATATGTACAAATTATATATTTGAAAAAATAATACTAAAAAGCCAGGAAAAAAATTAATTTCTGGTCTTAAAAAATCTGAAAAAATCAGGGTATTTTTTTCACTGAATCTGCTGGACACCCTGAATTCTTCTTTGAAAAAAACTGACTCACTTGCGTATTCAATTTAAATATTACTAGGCTCGAATCGATCATTAGAAATCTAAAGTAATGTTAATAATTAATAAATTTTTTTTCGAGCAGAAAATTAAAATTAAAACGACATTATTCTCCAAGTTAGAAGTGACATTTATTAAATGCGGAACGTTTCGGTAATTCGGAACGTAGAGGTAATTTCTATATTAATTCTAAACATAATTATTTGTAAATTTATATTTTTTTATTGTTACTTAATTATAGTGTTTTGCATTGCGGCTGAAGAATAAGTCTTAAGTAAAAGCACGAAACATTCCGCATTTACTAAATGTCACTTCTAACTTGGAGCTTAATGTCGTTTTAATTTTATTTTAATTTCCTGCTCGAAAAAGGCCTATTAATTATTATTAACTTTACATTTCTAATGATCGAGAGCCTAGTAAATTTATATTAAAATAATTAATATTTAAATTAAATAGGCAAGTAAAAGGAAGAATTCAGGGTGTCCAGTAGATTCAATGACAAAAATTTTCAGATTTTTTAAGACCAGAAATTAATTTTTTCCTTGACGTCTTAGTGTAATTTTTCCAAAAATATAATTTGTTTTAATTCGCTCGAAAAAAGGCCTATTAATGATTTGATTTCGTCCGACGAGTAAATTTTCAACAATAACTTTTTATCATTTACCGTGTCTCAGACCTATAAAATATCTCTCGGCGCGACAAATGTTCCCGGAGCGAGGCGATTTAGCGAGGATCATCGTCACGCGTCGCAATAACCGCACGTGGCGGCTCACGTGCCGCGATGATCTGTCACGGGAATATTCCGCGGAAACTCACGTCGCGCGATTCTTCTTCTCGCCGCGCCGGCTGGCACCGCCCCTATAATTCGACGTGCCCGTCCGGAGGCTCGAGGAAATTCCGCCGACCGCATTCGTCACCCGCTCGTTATTTCCGCCAAATTACGAGGGAGGCAATGTGGAATTCGAGCGCGCAAGCCGTCCGCGTTTGCATAATTAATGCGTCGCATCTTCGTTACGGATGGAAATCTGGGGGCGCATCGCGCGATCTCGCGATTGCAATTTGCGATCCGAAGAAGGGAGATGATATCTGTCGGGACGAAAGAGAATTCGTGACTTTCTACTTTTCGAAATTGAAAATTGAAAAATTGAAATTTAAGTTTAATTAAAAAATTATCGCGCACATTTTACATTAAGATATATTAAAAGATAACACTTTATATTCTTCGAAAAATTCTCCCTTTAATTTGATAATTTTAACACACTCGATCTGTCACTTATCTAAATTAGGCAATGCTTGCAGCGTCTTCAAATTATTGGAATAAATCTATTATGCGAATTAATTAAAATCATGAAGAGAGTTTCTTTCCCGTAAAAGGACGAATTCAATCTCACTTCATATCTGGCTAAATCTTTCAAAACATTTATCGCTGTGTATTTATTTCTCACTTCTTTCCGCGTCGCTTTCTCGACTAGGTAAAGGTATTAAATTTCGCGCGAAAGAGCGGGATGTATGTGTTTTCTTTTTGTCCACTGTATATATACGCGAATTCTTTGTACAATACTCACTTTGGAGTTCAGAGGATTTTCAAATCGAGACTCTACGCCGGCGAGAATTTCAGACGAGACCTCCGTTCGAATCGTTTCATTTGACGCTCTCTTACTATTTTTTTTCAACGCGAGAAATTCGAGCGGAAAAAAGAATACCTCCTCTTAAATTTATCTTTGACTTTTTTTGGAACAAACGCATTGCTTCGCAATCCAAGAAATTCGAGAGGCGGCTCGATATCGCTAACCCTCGACAATGAGAATAGATGATAAGAATACGTGCAATTTTCTCGTTCGCGATAAAAAGAAAAGTGCGTTCTCTCGAAAAATTTGTCACAGTACGTACGCGTTATTTTATTTACCTGCTTGAAACGTGAGTTCTACGACGCATTTTCATTTATTTACGGCTACAAATGCACCATTAACGCGATCCTACGATAGCACGCATCAAATGTCCCGAAATACTTTACTGAGCGTGTAATACTGATTTCGACAAATGCTCCTCCGCGTGCAGAGAGAGAAAAAGTAGCAAGAGCGAATAAATGCGTTCTTACGCAACAAATGTGTCATATGTGTTAAATTTAACACATTACATGTCCACGGAAATTCTTGTGTTAATTTAACATAATATGGCTATATGTTAAGTGGAGATCCAAATACTGTGTTAATATTTTAACAGAAAATAAATGCAAAACTTCAAATAATTTTAAATAAACCTTGTGGAAAATTAACAATTTTAATGTAAAAATTAACTAAAAATATGTTAATTTTAGATTTTATCTTCCCCACTTATACATATTATAAAATAAAAAATAAAAAATCATTTTTTCTGTAAATTTCAAATTTTGTCACCTAATAAAACAGAATATATTTATTGTATAAAATTAACAATAAATGCACATTGTGTTATTTTTATATCTATTTTCAGAATTTTAAAAATTTAATATTTAAGTTCAATTAATATAACAATAATATGTTAAATTAACACATAAATGTGTCAAATATTTAAGACAAAAATTTTTAACAATGTGTTATTTTTATATCTATTTTCAGAAATTTTAATAATTTAATATTTAAGTTCAATTAACACAAAAAATTTGAACGGGGACAAGAAAACACCCTACTGTGGCAAAAACAGCATCTTTTAAACGCGAGCACCGTTTTCGGTAAAAATTAATAAAAAAATCAAATCAAAAGGAAAATTAAATTTCTGCAATTTTATTTGATTATGCTGAAATGGCTGCGTCAATCGAATAGAGCGGAAGAAATTCAAATAGCATATTACCATTGCGTTTATCAATCGAATTAATCTCCTATCGCTCACCGTAATCGTCCTCGTAGATGATCGCCACCTTGGTCCAATTAGGAACTCCATGACGTCTTGATAAGCGATGTTGAGCAGACTTTGTGCGGGATAGAGATTAATGCTGAACTCTTTGGCCTCCGCGTCCAGGTCCAGCCTGGCCTCGAGATGTGGAATATCGAGGGCATCGCAGATGCTGTGTATGTGCTGACCCAGGATAGGATCCGAGGGTCCGAAAACCGCCTGGACGCCGTACTTGACCTGCTGGCACGCTAAAAGGATAAAGAAAAATGATAAACGCGCGTTCATTTATCAGGGTTGTGCTTAGATGATTTTAAAATTATCCAGATAAGGATGAGATAAATTCATGTTAAAAAAGATGAAGATGATTTTGTGTTAAATATATATCTACATAATATTATATGGTGATTCATCTAAATAATAAAATTATATAATAAGTTTAAATATATGTCTACATAAAAGATAAAGTTATATGGCGATTCATCTAAATAATTTTCTAGATAATCATTTCAAGACTGCTAATGTAAACGCAGTTATAAAAAAATGTGAATTTCTGCATCTGACCTTATCTCTTTATTAACTCGTTTTTTATTCGTGTATATTAATAAGAATTAAATATAAATTACATATTAATAAATAAATAAAAATAATAAAATAAGAAAATAATTATGATAAGAGAGTATTAAAATAAATAAATATTATAAAAAAATGCTTTAATTCATCTTAGATAAAATAAAGATGATTTTGTTTTAAATATACCTAGATAAAAGATAAAATTATACGGTAATTCATCTTGATAATTTTCTAGATAATAATTTTTAAGACTGTTTATGTAAAGGCAGTTATAAAAAAATGTAAATTATAAAGGGATATAAAAATGTATGTATTCATGTTTTTATTTATAAGATTTTATCGCTTATACTACTTAAGTTCTACTATTTCAATATTTTTATGTGCTATGATTTGAAACCAAAATTATCTGAAAATATTCTAAATAATACTTTTTTTCATTTAATTGTAAGATGCAGATAATACATATTTTTATTATCTATATAAAGAAAAGATGACGCCAAAATTTCATCTAGATGATTGTCAATATAATTTTATTTAGATAAGAGCAAACACTAATCAGCAAATATATTAAGTTGATTAAAAATAAGAAAAAAATTCATTATAGATAATTGATCAGTTCGTTTGAGAAACCATGAGTTTTTGCCTTCATTAATCGCAAAAATGTGACTTTGCTAAATGATCCAAACCTCGACCATATATGGTTAAAATAACTCAGGTCGAAATCCTGGAGCTTTCGTGGTCAGTCTTATCTCATCCGCTTTATTCTCCGAGCTTTGTCCCATTAAATTTGCATCTGTTTAGGTCTACTTTAAAATTCATTAGATGGAAACAATTTTCATAATGATGTTGAGATCGATGAATTTGAATTGAAAAAACTTTTCTGCATCAAAAATCTCTAAAATTTTTTGAATTAATAAATTACCATTTAAATGACAAGTTGCACTTAAGAATGGAGAAGATATAATAGATATTGAAATTTAGTATAAATAAGTTTAAACATATAAAATTCATTTTCTTAGTAAACCTATCATATATAGGATGATTAATAATTATTTTAATCAATGTTGATGGATTATATTGATTTTTGGTAAAATATTAATTATAATTATTATATCGATGATCATGATCACAAAATGTGTACATAACGCAACAATAGATTCAATCGCAATAGTTTGAATCCAGGAGCGATAATTCAAGCCGACTCTCTTGAACGAGCAGTACTTTTAATTTTAATTATCGCGGGTAATGACGCTCCTTAATTCGCTATTAGTTTACAATCGAGTTAACGTTCCCATCCCTTTTTTTCTCCCTCCCACGCAATTAATATTAATTCCTCCGTCCGTTTCCGCCGAATGAGAAAGAGGAAACCGATTAACTCGAAAATTAGCGACGTTTTCCTGGAAGGTACCGGAAAACGTTGTAACGCGAACATAATGACGCCCGTGTCACGGTCGATAATCCCTGGAAGAGAGGTCTGTCCTCTGGACGGACGCTAACGCCGCATTAACGCCGTGCTAAATGTAGGACACACTACTTGCTACCACTACTAGCCGCGAGCATAAGTGAGGGTTGTTGTCGTCGTACGTGCAGAATGACCGAAGTCGCCTTGGCACACACTCCGGTTCTCGGTCGAGTTATCTCCCGCCAAGTTCTCCAAGTGTTGCCGCATCGGGTTGTCTAAACCGACCGAATCGGAGTTTAGCCTCCATCAGTTCAGGAACATTCTCTCTCTCTCTCTATCTCTTATCGTCTTCTTCTTCATCCCTCTTGAACCCTCATATAATATATATAGTTCTCCCGTTTGCCGTCGTTACGTTGGCCGGGTTAATTTACGTTGTTGCGCGGACGGAAATTGATTTTCCGACTTGCGCGTCCGAGCAACAAGACGACATTAGTTAGATCGAGCGCCGCGAACAGCGAGTTTCGTTAAGGACGCTTCGCCAAGTTGCCGCGCGAAATGCAACGTGCCGATTGTCGCGATGGGAGAACTTGAACTGCGATTCGAATTGAGTATGCACGTTCAATAATGTTATTGTTGCTTAGATTAGATGTAAAGCGTTGTAGAAACCGTGAATAAAGGGTTGCCACAAATGTCAGATGTGAGAAAATTATTTTTAATTTATCTATAATAATATTTGTAATATATGTATAATGATTTTGTGTAAAATAATATTTATAATCTATTGATTTATTTATATACAAGCTATTAAAATACATAAAATATATAAAGTAATATATATTTTAATATAAATTTAAATTCAATAACCTAGATTAATTGCTCTTTATAATATATTTATTATTATATAATATAAAATTATTTATATATACAAAATAAATATAAAAAATTTTCTTGCGTATAATATCTATATCTGATACTTAGATTAGATATAAATCATTATAGAAACCGTAAATAAAGCGTTGGCACAGATATCAGATGCAATAAAATTATTTTTTAATTCATCTACAATAATATTTGTAATATATTTATTATAATATTTTTATAATATATTCTTTATTATATAAATAAAAAATTATTTTATACAAAATAAATATAGCGGAATTTAAAAATAATTTTCTCATGTATCTGATATCTATATCTGATTCTTATTAGCCCTTTTTATCATATTTTGTATTTATACAATATCAGATCTCAATCGTTCGGTCGAGGTAAAAACGGAAAACGCACCACGATTAACGAATTATTCGCGATGATCTCTTTCCGAGAATGTCGGGTCATTTTTGATACGCCGACGTAATTTAAGCCGGAGAGCCTCACGTCCAGTTATCACACAAGGAACTAGTGGAAAAGATCAACGGGAGAGCCGGCGAATAATGGCTTCTCGCGCAGCGAGATAATGGGTTTTTGGAGGTTCCATTATCATTCCACCGACTACGACGTCGTGATAGTGCCGTCATTATACGCGGATTACAACAATCCGGACGATCTCGTTCTTTACCGCGTATCGTTTCTGCTCGGACGCGGTAATACAAAACCGCGGGGCAAAGATGGTCAACGCGATTGGTTAAATGAAATTTTACCTCGGGGGATGGGACAGGGTGGTAATATCGCTTGAAGCTCAAATTGATCGAAATATATATATATATATATTGAATAAACCGCGCGTGCTTGTCAAATTTGCATTTAATGAAAGACATCGTAGGTATCCCTGTAAATATTTTTTTTTACGGTTTCTATAATGATTGATATCTAATCTAAGTGTCAGATATAGATATTAGATACAAGAAAATTTTTCTATATTTATTTTGTATAAAATAATTTTTATATTATATAATAATAAATATATTATAAAGAGCAATTAATCTAGGCTATTGAATTTAAATTTATATTAAAATATATTACTTTATATATTTTATGTATTTTAATATCTTGTATATATATATATATATATATATATATATCTTGTATTTGTAATATATGTATAATATCTTGTATATAAATAAATTAATAGATTATAAATATTATTTTACACAAAATGATTTTGTGTAAAATAATATTTATAATCTATTAATTTATTTATATACAAGATATTATACATATATTGCAAATATTATTATAGATAAATTAAAGAATAATTTTTGTAACATTTTTTTTATAGAAAAATCAAATAATCGACCAAACTAGCAAAAATCAATTTATTAATCTTCACGACGTTTCGACTATGTGATTGTGGTCCTTATCAAGTGTACAATACTACAAAAAATACATTAAAAATAATATTAAAAAACGAAAAATAAAATAAAAGTATAATAACTAATACTATTTTTTTATAATAATAGAATTATTTAAAATTATAAAAATTTAAAATAATTTTGTTTTATGACTTTGACATATAAAGTCGTGTCGATTTATTACACTAAAAATATCTAAAGACGCAAAGATATCGTAATTTGTAAAACGATTTGTAAAGCTGAAATTGCAAGAGATTATCCATACTTCGCCCATATATATACATAAATGAATTTATTTAATTTACAGTGCGCTCGATATATTGATTTTGCGTTTACGGTACCTATATCAATATTTTGAACGCGGCTTATTGCTTTGCCTCTCAACCTGCTCGACCGTTAAATTTGCACAGATTATTAAAGTCGTAGCGGGAAATACGCAAAGGTAAATGGCTAAGGCCAAAATAAACTTTCAGCCGATTCGTACTCGGCGCAGAATATAAAAAAAAATCAAGTTGGCTGTAAACGAATGTCTCTCTCTCTCTCTCTCTCTCTCTCTCTCTCTCTTTCTCTTTTGAAACTAAACGAGGTTTAATTCATTGCCTAATGGGGTGATCGTTAGTCCAACACACGCGCCTCAACTTCCTCTTTTTCTCTTTAGACTCTTGTTTTTTTTTTCCTTAAAGCACTTTACTTTTCTAGAGAAACAACTCTCAGTGCGAAATACGTTCATAATAAATCGAATTCAATCTCTACCTTTCCCACTCATGTTTCTTTCATAACTTGTGTGTGTTTTCGCGATGTATATTATTCTTCTTTTAAATATTCGTACAATCGATTCCTTTTCAAAATAAATCCCATTTTGTTCTTCAGCGAGAACGGATAGTTGAAATACAATGCGAGGAAATAAAAAATTGCGTTGGAAAATAGAAAGATAAAGTAAAAAAGTCTAGCGATATAAAAACGCGGAATATAAAAATAAAGGAAAAAG